TTGCATTTAGACTGTTTAACTGGTAGTGTACTAATTAACAATTAGTCGCCGAAGGCGAGGTGATTACAAGCCTATATTCACTGAGCCGAAGGCGAAGTGAATATTGGCTTGTAATCACCGAGCCTGAGGCGACTAATTGTTTTAGTATAAATTTCCAGGTGTTTACAAACAATAATCCACACAACTTTACAAAAATTCACTTCAAATAAATTTATTTTCGCTATAAATAGTTTGTTTACAAAATTTAAATCTCAGACACGGCTCTGTGTCGCGTTGCGACTAAGCCAGTTTTTTTCCAAATAAAAGCACGTAAAGTTTAATATTTTACCTTAAAATATTTTTAAACCATATTTTGTAGCTTGTTTGCGTTTTTTTCGGATGCTATCTTCTTTAATTTTGGCAATTTCCTCCTCTGTTACTACGGCAAAACGAGCAGCCATTTTGAAAAAAAAGCTATAGTCACTGACCAGTGACTATCACTTCAGAGACAGTGAATCTTGACCAATCAGAATGCAGAAAAATCAATAGGCACCTGGAAATTTATACTAATATTACATATTTCTTATGGAGACAAAAAGAGATAGTAAAATGATTGTGAAATTGTCAAGCAAGACTCTTGGCTATAGTGTCTTGGTGCTGTAGCTCTTCATAATGATTACGCACTTGGTCATTTGCCACACCTTGAACTATGACCCAAGCTCAATGCCCCCCCCCCCCTACCTGATCTGGCTGGATCCATTACATGGCATTTGGTTGGTTCTCTCCTGTACTTCTACGATTGTTTTTTGGTCTTCTTCCCTCGCCAGAAACAAACCTTGGGCCTTAATTACTTGTCGAGCACGTATATCGTGTATGACTCTACTGTATATAGCTTGGGCGAGTTGGGTAAACCACCTGCGTAATCGATATTAAATAAATCTATAACTATTATTAAATATTGCTCTCATGCAGTAACGGTACTTATTACTCATATAGTGTAACGCGGTATAACTGAAACGTTTTAGGTTTTGGTCTATAGGTGTAATAAAATAGTTTGCTTAGAAGAGAATGTCATGATTTGATATTAGGACTGTTATTGTCCAGCCATTTATTGTGCATCATATGAATATTGGATTCAAATTAGTAAGTTTCGCATATATTAATTCACTATGTGGAGGCTGGCGCTACACTGATATGAAAAGAATGTTTCTGTGGTGTTAATCTTGTATTTAATCACATATTTATGTCTGTCATCTTGCGCGAGTAAACTATACTATTTCCTGACATGTCGCACTATAGATGTTGCATTTCCGCAGCTCGTTACTGGGCACTTGTTTTGCCGTATTAATTAAAATTGAAATAGCCAAACGCGAGTTCAGGATATTGTATTGCCCGGCAATGATATCACAGCCACTGATCTATGTAGACTGCAATTACGAGGTTGCACTGTGCCCAGCGAAGGGCCTGCGGAGGAGGCAGGCCCAGTAAGGTGAGGGCAAAAATTACGCCCACACAGCCCCCGGTACCATAATCACCAGGATGATGGATGCAGGCGTGGGGAGGAGGTGGGATGTACAAAAATTACTGCTGAAAAGATTAATAACTTGCCTCGACAGCTGACTATAAGCGACTAAACGTAAAATGTTTGAGTGCGTCTATATGACAACACCCTGTAAATAATCTAGTTGTTCCATCAGTTAAACTATTTGCCTACAGCTAAAGTTTTATCTTTGCAAAGCAGGTTTCCTCCACACCCTTGGCAGAGTTAATTAATATGATAATAATAACAAGATGACAGACATAAAATTCCTATTCGCAAGCAAATATTCTATATTCATTAAAATGTTGTATTGTTTCCAGATACAAGAGTTTATGTCCGAAGACTTGGCCAAAATGGGATCGTGATCCAAAACAAGGTCTTGGTGAGATCTTGAAGGTCAGTCAGCGGAACAGTTATCTTGTATATCGACAACGTAAACTAGTTTGTCATAAAATTATCCGAAAAGTGAATGAAAATACAATACAAGGGCGTAAGCTGCCACAGTACGTACTTGGATACGCAGTGGCTGTCATGCCGGCATTTTTCTTACGTTCAAAGCATGATTACAAGCTGAATACTACACTTGTAAAAACGCACAAGTTGTAACAAACCTGCATTAGACTTGTAACAATGCTGTTTCAACAACATGGCTGTCAACAGGGTGTGTTCGCACTGCTTATTCCCAGCTTGTTGACAAGTTGTCAACGGCTTGTACAACTTGCTGCAAAGTTGCTGAGCTCAACAAACTTGTTACAAGTTGTTCCAACAACAACTTATCGTCCTGCAATTCAACATTTTGTTCACAAGTTCACTGTTGTGAGTGACAATCTTATAGCAACTCGGTGATAAAATAACAACATTGTAATGTTGACAAGCTTGCTACAAGCCTGTTGCGGACACATCTTGTTGACAAGTTGTGAGATTTTTACGTGTGTACCCTAACAACGCCTGCGAGAGTGTCCAGGAATCAGTCTGGCATTCACAGTGTTCTAAGACCTGTTCTAAACATTTACTCTACACCAATGTAAATCCTTATATGTGCACACGCTTCTTCTTTCTCATCGTCTCAAAAGATAACGGTACGTTTCTGATAAGCCCTGATAAGTTAATGTTAATTGAAATGCCATGTTACCATCGAATGTAAAATTATGAAACCATGTGATCACAGGATGGATTCTGATTGATAAGGATAATAAAAAAAAATAAAAAAAAAAAAAATCGGAATGCACCACACTGTGTGAACCAGGGGTCAGAAAAATGCAAATTCGAGCTTGATCCTCTATTGTGACATCTTTGTTAAGAGTCACTTCTTTGTTTCTTTCTATTAATTTCATTTCAATTAAAATATCTGTCGTATTTTTTCTTTATAGTTCCTGAAAATCAAGACATCTGAATATGATTATGGCAGGACGAAACTCTTTATCCGAAATCCTCAAACGGTATTGTGTGCATTTCACTTCTAGGATAATGTCAAAGTTCAGTGTATTCATTTTTGTTTTCCTTTATTGTAGTTATTTGCGTTGGAAGACAGAAGAGAAGAAAAATTAGAGGATCTTGCAGTTATTATACAAAAACGTTATAAAGGCTTTCGAGAACGAAGAAAGGT